ATACTCGTCCTCACCTAAAAACAGTTAAAAAACTTCAATATCATAGCAAAGTGGTACACTTCATTTTCGGCGCATTGTCGCTTAACGTTGGATGAGGAGTGATATGTTCATTTTTGTGACTGCCTAACTTGTCCGTTCCCCAACCTGCCAATGATTTGAATAGAAAATTAGATTAATTACCTGAGTCTTTCTTAATTCTCCGCAAAAAAAAACTGCAGCATAAGCGCTCGAGAGCCATCCTCACATCACAACTGCGGTTGCGTCGCGGTTTTCAGTTAGAGCGCGTTACAGTCAGCAAGGCAAGACACGTTGACATATTCCGCTGAAATATTCTGCTATTCTGCTACCAATCAATTCTGCTATTCCTACATGTTCAGGCTTCTTCAGCCTTTTTTATTTTTCTTTTCTTCAGGTTTTCTTATTTTCAATAATTTTGTTGAACAACTAAGTATTTTTTAGTAACCACATTTTGTTATAGTGATTACCACTCGATGCTTCATCTTCTGTTATTTTAATTTTTTTTGTATGGAATGATATCCAGATCCCTTTTGTTTGTTGTAGCTCCCACTAACAATGTTGCCAACCTATGTATGCCTTTGTCCAACCGTTGCTGGATATTATGTATTTGTTGTTTCTGTTGGTTTCTAGTTGTTTTTGGTAGTTGTATATCTGTTCTAGAAATCGAGTTAGCCAGTATATGATTATCCAGCTAAAATTCAGTGCCGAGTAGCTTAGTGAATGCTCTTGTTAGATATGCGTAACCATGGGAACTTCATGAATTTTTTCTCACCTGTAATAGTGTAAGAATATTGAACTATTTGCGAAACGTCATTTCAACGGAAAGAGGAAACGACCTCTAATTTAGGTTTAGATAGGGTGTTTGAAATTCGTGAGGAAACATTCGCAGGAGCTGCACACGGACATTTTGCCTTTCGTACCCATGCGCTATAAGCACGCGCGGGCGTGGTTTATTTTATCCGTTGGGCGCGGAACGCTCGCCGCATCCGATCGCGCGCTGATTTGAATGTCCATGGGGAGTTTACGGTTTTTGCCGCGAGGCATTTCTAGCAGGGTTACAGTAAACTCGCCTGTTGTTTGTATCTGTATCTAACCGCCAATTGTTTAAATATTGAGCTTCGCCTAGCTGCTTAGAAAGTCCCAATCAGTTGTACACGTCATTAGTAACTAGCATCATCCGCTTGTATTATTGAAGAAGCTTACACAGGTGAATTCTTTGCAGGTTTATCGATTCCAGGACGGAGGTCAACTCGTGTCAACATTGCCTCATGCTGGTTTACAACCTGCGATATATAAGTAGCTGTTTTCTGGAAGGATGTCGCTTCTCTTTCTCCGCTTTATCATACATTATTGTATTTCATTGAATTTATAATAAAGATGTATATAGGTCTAAGTATTCACAGAAGTATGCCAAAGTCCGCACCACGATCAGCTGTGGGCCTCACAAACCTATAACTTCACCGGATATTACCACTCCATCCGAGAGAAGGAGAGCAACGTCACTATGGACAGATCTTTATTCTGGACGCAGAAAGCCGCCGGCCAACGTTTTGGAGATCCAGGAAATGTGGATTGTGACCTAGATTTGATGCGTTCTCCAAGCGAGTTGCTGTCGGAAGTCAGTCTCTATGCACAATCTTTTCTCAAGATGATGAGCGAAATCGAACAGGCCGAAACGGCAGTTGCAACAAGAGAAAATCGTACTCCTCTTAATATCCGGATGATATTTGAGAGGAGCAGTGAGAGAGGACTGAGGCGTCGCCAGTACGACCTGCCGACGCCCAATGAACGCAGTTATAAATGTTGGGGGGAACGATGACGTGCCGCCTACGAGAAGTTTAGCGGTTCATATTCGGGACGCCTCTGGAGAACAACTTCAGAATGTACGTGATATTGCCAAGATATGCGTACCTCTTACGTAAACTCTTCCATTTCCTGCTGGAGATGGCTGATGTGAACCACCAATGACTGAAGAAAATGGTTTTTGGCTTTCACAACGAGTGCACTATGCGTATCTATCATCAGTGCGAGACCATTTCAACCCCATTTTGCACGCTGGTAACTTCACATAGCTCCCCATCTCTTGATGGGGTGCCGGCAAAACAGCTCCACACGTATGCAGGCTCCAAAGGAAGCGACTCAGCCGAAAGCTAGTCTTGAATAAAAATTGCCACAATCTCGGAGGCAGAGTTAATCCACAAAAAATGTAGTCCATGCAAAGATCAATGGATGCGCTATAAAATGAAAAATTTGTATTCTCCGTGGAAGGTTACGATAGTTGCTGCAGAACCACTGCACCCCGCGCCGTTCACTGCTACTGCACCTCCCGTTCTTCACCACTGGGTCCCACGACTTCCAAGCCATAGTGCCTCATGAATAAATATTGCTACAATCTCGGAGGCTGAATTAATCCACAAAAAATGTAACTTGGTCTATGCAAAGATCAATGGACGCGCTATAAAATGAAAAATTTGTATTCTCCGTGGAAGGTTACGATAGTTGCTGCAGAACCACTGCATTCCGCGCCGTTCACTGCTACTGCACCTCCCGTTCTTCACCTCTGGGTCCCACGACTTCCAAGCCATAGTACCTCAACTGCTCGGGCTACATAGCTGATCTATATACTCAACGACAGGACTTATCACTTTTTTCCTTGCAGTAACTGATGAAAGATATATTCTTACTTGTGTTATGCAGAAAAACGACGTCAGCGGTGCGGGGAATTCCGCACCAGATTACTAAATACAGGCTCCAAAGAAGCGACTCAGCCGAAAGTTGGTGTGAATAAAAGTTGTTACCAACCTCAGAGACTAAGTTAATCCACAAAAAATGTAACTTGGTCTATGCCAAGATTAATGGACGCACTATAAGAGGAAAAATTTGAACTCTCAGTGGAAGGTTACGATAGTTGCTGCAGAACCACCGCACCCCGCTATGGGTGGAGTGCCGACAAGACAGCTTCACATGTATTGTAAGAATCTGTGAAGTGTGAGAGAGGGAATTTCCGCTCACTGTACCATGACTCATCCCATCACACGTATTTAAGGCACGCCACCGACTTCTCGAGGAGCACAGTCGACGGCGTCTCCGTCCCACAATCAAGCTCGCTGTTCACTGCTACTGCACCTCCCATTCGTCACCTCTGGGCCCCACGACTTCCAAGCCATAGTGTCTCAACTGCTGGGCTCCATAGCTGATCTCTATGTACACAACGACAGGACTAATCTCTTTATTGTTCGCAGCTACTGATGAAAGATATATTCTTACTTGTGTTATGCAGAAGAACGAGGTCAGCGGTGCGGGGAATTCCGCACCAGATTACTGTATACAGGCTCCAAGGAAGCGACTCAGCCGAGAGTTGGTGTGAATAAAAGTTGTTACCAACCTCAGAGACTAAGTTAATCCACAAAAAATGTAACTTGGTCCATGCCAAGATTAATGGACGCGCTATAAGAGAAAATTTGAATTTTCAGTGGGAGGTTACGATAGTTGCTGCAGAACCTGTCAAGGCAAACCCCGCTGGGTTTCATTATTTCATGTTCACGGCAGACCCCGCTACGTTTCGTTGTTTCATGTTCATGGCAGGAAAACGCCAAACAATTTCCCTATTAGGTACCCTCCTATACCACAGTTCAATACCGGACGAAGAAATCTCCAACATCGGCGAAAACACCAACACGAACAACAGCTGGTGGAATGACATCTCAATCCCGTACCTACGTCCTCTTATGCAAACCGTTGTCACACACTGGAAGAGCACACTAGCAATAGCATCACTTACAGGGCTAATCGGATTCGCAATTTACCTTTCTGGACCTATTGCGATTGTTGCGATCGTAAAAACCGTTATCATAATCGCAACATTTGTGTTTAAATGGTTCCTCAAATGTGTGGATAGCATACGAATAACCGTTCCTAGAATTACGATCAATAGAGCTCGCAACTGAAGAAGCCTCTTTTTACTCTTCTGCCATGCTCTCTTTTTGAACGGAAACAGCCCTCCCCTTTTTGTGATGAAGTGCTCCTCAGACTTCATGACCGACGATCCTCGCACGACATCTGCGCAGCTGGTGCCTTCCGACAGCGCGACTGAAAATAGTAACACTCCTGTACTGGGTCTCGCAGCTACACGTCATCTCGACCCATTCCACGCATCCATTCAACTCACTCTGAACATGCTAACTACTACAATGTAAGCTATTCAGAGTAGAATGAATCCCATCGAAACTAGAATCGACTCTTTGATAGCCCACCTTCCTCGACCACCATGCATATTTTGCGACAATGAAAAACACCGTTCTTCTTCTTGCACCGTATTTCCCAATATTGTGTCTCGCTCTCTCCGTGAGAGAGATGGAGACAAGTGCACGTCCTGTCTGGCAACTGCACATGGTATTTGTCTTAAGAAGTGTCGCAACTCATGGAGGACCGCATCATGCGATTCTCCGCAACACAAAACCAACAAGTGGGCCACCAGCGAAACGCCATCGATCGGATTGACGATGAGTCGATTTTGATTTACTGCTTTTAATTGAAGATGTTTTATAAGTTGTTACATGTTTTACAAGTTTGTTTGTTTTACTACTCATTCACTTCGTACTCATTCAANCACACCAAGCAAAAATCACTCGCTCTCTGGCCAATCACTCGTAGCTCGGCGATGAGAGCCCACTATCAACATATGTCTCATTACGTTTATTCTCACAACGCTGTAGTCACCAGTATTGTCTCAACTCACACTCAGTCGTCAGATCAGGGGCAGGACCTGGGCTTCGACTGGCTAGTTAGCGAGTGACTCATTAAAAAGTCAATATCAAGTGAACATTATTTTGCGTACTCAGTCCTATTCATCTCTTTTATACGTCAGCATTTCAGATGTATGCTTATTTCCCATTTTCCTATGTTTATTTCTCATACTGCTTCGCACTACTCAAAAATTTTTCGCGGCCGGGGAATGTCGCGGCAGACCCCGCAGCCGCTTCGTTTCATTCTTTTATGTATGTTGAAAGCATGCGGAGGCTCCGCCTCCGGCCCTTAGTTTTCCGACGGAGGAGACAATACGTTCAATATTATTATAGTATAAGCCTTTGATAATGTCATGATCTGTATTGCGCTGGCTGACCAAACAGCCGAATCAATAATCAAAACGCTGGAAACAAGGTATCCCGAAGGAACTTATTCCAGATAGTGGATCAAATTGCACCAGCGAGGTATTTGCCGAATCGGTAAAACTTTGGGTATCATTAACAACTTTACTGAGGAAGGTGACTCGCCGAAACGTTATTGGTGAATATAAGTTGTTGCCAATCTCGGAGGCTACGTTAATCCACAACAAATGTTACTTGGACCATGTCAAGATTAATGGAGAGTTGGTCATGGCACTAAGTTTGTTTCTATAGCACTATGCGCCCTCGAAAAGTTCATGTTTTATACTGCGCTCGTAGGCCAAACAGCCGAATTAGTAATCAAAGCGCTGGAAACACGGTAGCCCGAAAGAGCTTATTTCGGGTAGTGGATCACATTGCACCAGCGAGTGCATATTTGCCAAATCAATAAAACTTGGGATATCTTTAACAACTCTACTAGTCCGAGGGCGCCGACTCCGCCGAAACGTTAGTCGTGGATAAAAGTTGTTACCAATCTCGGAGGCTACGTTAATCCACAAAAATTGTTACTTGGACATGGAGATTCGGTCATGGAAGCAGCTATGACCAAAAGGTACAAGCGGGAAGACCAGTTAGAACAATAACTGACTTTTTCACTGCATATGTTCTGACGCTAGATATCTTTGGCTTAATTTTTTACAGTCTATCGTTTTTCCCTACATTTCCAGAACAAATATAACCAAAGACTAACTTCATATTTCATCGTATATGGCAGATGTCTAATAACATGGAGTGACATACTCCATGAACTTCCTGCTCAGCGTAAGCATCTAACGATTTCACGGACCAATTTTCCTTTGACCTGAAGGATATCATTATAGATGTTGGCAAGGAGATCGCTCAGCAGCACATTACGAGGTGGACTATGGTCTGAAATAAGATATTCCCAAAAGATCCTGCTACTGGAAATTTAGTTCCTGTTGCGGTTCACAACTAGTCTAACTATTCACCTCACGTAATATGTATTTTTGTTAAGTACCTTTTAAGATGATACCGAAGGCATAGCCTATCAGTGTTTAAGTGTGCAATCAAATAGATAACCCGAACATTGCCGTTGGCGCGGTGCGCTCTTTTATCCCGTTGCTTATTGTACTCGTGCAGTCCGTTCATTAACGCCGCCCACATTCGTATGTGGGTTTGTGTATTATTGTCTGTTACTATTATACGCGTCGTAATGAAGGCTTGCAAGTCTACGGTAAAGTCCATCATCGCCCTAATCAATCGCCCTATCGCAACAACCCCCATCCTCGTAGATCCCAACAAACTGTTCATCCGAAATTGTAACTCCACCTTCAGCGCCATTTGATCCTTCCACCACAACTTCTGTGGCCAGTTTCGGAAGCATAAATGATATCGAGCGACTCAATGTTCGGCGTTTTCGCCATCATCAGGAGAAACAACACCGATCAACGTTTCAATACGAGTAGAATAGAATGTTTGTTTTTACATTCAGAACACCATTCTTCGCAATTTTACTTTTTTGCCTCATCATCGTGATCAACTGCAGCTTCCTTGAACATTCAACGCACTTTCTCACTATACACTACAAAAGAACTTCACATTAATGCTTAGCCCTTATACTAATCGAAGCATGTGTGCCGTACCGCAGTATTTTCAAGTTTTGTCGAACGTCAACGGGGCTAATATTCGGCTA